TGTAATCCTCTGGTGAACTTGTTCTAGCAGAACCAGTGTTTAAACTAGAATAAACAAGCAAATGAGCAACCCTTATATAAAACTGACACCTTCCCTTCCCTCCCCCCCCTTTCTTTAAGTTTTACTTATTTAAGTGATCTCTACACCCACCGTGGGGCTGGAACTCACAACCCTGAGATCAAAAGTCACGTGTTTCTTCTACTGAGCCAGCCAGGTGCCGCATGTGGACTTTAAATAACCTTCCTTTTCTCCTTCCGTCGATAGCACACCTACTATGTGCCAGATACAGTGCTAGGCCGTCTTTCCACCAACTCATTCAATCTTCCATTTTTAGGGATGAATAAACTCTGGGTCAGAAGAGGTTAGGTAGCTTGCCTGATGGCTTCCAGCTAACAAGTGGCAGAGCCGAGACGCAAACTTGACTCTTCTGCCTCTCTAAATGGGGGGCTTTGAACCCTACTGCAGCTCCTTGTCATTGCTGTTGAAGTTCTGCTCCATGCCTTCCAGATGCACAGGGCCCCGCACACAGCAGGTGCTCCAGAAATGCCAAGTGAATGGATGAATGAGATACTTGTTGAGTTAAAGAATGAATGAATGAGTTCTTCATTACTTTGGGATGATTTGTTTTTGCACTGGCCTGACTAAAATATAGGTTCCTGATGGGTCGGAACCATAGCACAGAAGGCATGTGGGCTCTGCAATCAGCCGGATCTGGGTTCAAATCCCAGCTTGGCCCACATTTGCTGTGCAACCTGAGCAAGTCTCTCAACCTCTCTGAGGCTATGTTTTCTGAGGTTTGGAAGCAATATATGCAAGATTCTATGCCTAGCATAGTGTAGGTGCTCAGAAAACACCTGTTAAATGGAATGGCACTGAATCTCAATTTGATAACAGAGTCTTGGGGAGGGCTGGGGGAGAGAAGAGTTAATTTTGATTAGGTGGAAGATGAGCTGGCATCAGAATCATTCGGGAAACATGTAGAATCCCGACTGCATGCCCCCCTTCCAGAGAATGAGATTCAGGAGGAATCCGCCTGATGAGCCAGACACTGGTAGGCAAGTGATCACCCTGGAACATTCGAATGGTCAGAGGAAATGTGTCTTGCAGCAAAGGTTGCAGAGGAAGGAGAGTGAGCCAGGCCTTGAAGGACAGCAGGACCTCCACCACTGCCCTGGATTTTCTCTGCCCGTTAAAGGACGGGTGGGTCCTGGGCCATCTCTGCTCCTGTGATGGGCCTTGAATAATTGATCAAGTCGCTCAGTGAGAAGCTCATGAATTCTTAAACCCTTTTAAGGGCCTTCCAGGAAGGGACGGCATCCCCTCCAGGGTCTCTGTGGTCCTGTGCTCTCTTTATCTAGGTTCTGGATAAAGCGACCCCCCTGCTGTGACCTTCAGGTCGACAGCCTTTTAAGGAATGGAATGTTTCCCCTCACAGGATCCCCAATTCTCTGCGCATATGGATTCTACGCCAGTAATTGGCCTAAAGGCAGTCTGGAGACTGTCCCCAGGACCCAAGCCCTCTAAGCAACCCCTTCCTCTGTCCCTATGCCAACCTGCCAAGACCCAGAGCTTGCAGGTGACTTGAAACCTGGGATGCTCAAGGCCCCGGCAGATTGCCTCTCCCAGCAAGTAAATAAATTTTTAAAATGGAGAAATGCTATGGAAAAAAATAAGGCATTTTTGGTTTTATTTTAAGGACAGATTACTTAAGCTAGGGAAGGCCTCCTGGAGGAGGTGGCTTTTGAATTGAAACCTGAACCATCAAAAGAAAGATCTGGAGACAGACAGCTGCAAGCAGAAGGAATAGCAAAGACGGTGTCCCTGCAGGGACTTGGTGTCTTCCTGGGATGGAAAGAAGCCCAGTGTGGCCAGGGCACAATGAATGAGAGGGTTAGTGGGGTATAAGGGAGATGGAAGACTGGATCTACTGACCCTTATGAGGGCTCTGGGGAAAAGGGCAAAGATACCCTTCCTTCTGGATAGACATAGACCCTTATCTATACACAAGATTCCAGGAGAAGAGCATGGCTGAATTTTAACCTCCCCTTTCCTGTCTGCCAGGCAACCTTTTGCAGTGTGCAACATGCAGAACTGTACATGGAGGACCTGGGGAGTGCCATTATCTGTCTTGATGGAGCCAGACAAAAGGGGGAAATCGTACCTCAGTGCTGGCCAGGTTAAATCTGAGATGCCATTAGCCATCCAGGAGAAGTTGCTGAGTAGACAGATGGATGTGCCCATCTAGAGCTCAGGCAGAGGTCTGGGTGTCCTCACTGGATCATCACACGCTTGGATGAGACAGTCGGTGGGGGGGAAAGCCACAGAGTGGTATTTGGGATGTGCAGATCTGCCTGTGAGGTGCTTACTAGTCTGTGGGAGAGGTCAACAAGGTGCTTAGAAATCAAAATTTAAGGAGACACTCCCTCCCAGGGTCACTTAAGTGCAGAGGTGGCACCTGAGAGTGGGTGACACTTAAAAATTCGTGTCTTCTTAACTTTAGTCCCGGTCCCTTGTAATTCAATGGCGAAAAGGTAGTCATGACAACTAATGGTGCTGGTACACTTGGACACTCACTTGGGAAAGAAAAAAAAGAACCTCACACCTTCCTTCACACTGTATATAAAAACAAAAATAGGTCAGAGACCTAAACATAAAAGCTAGAAGTATGAGACTTAAGGGGGGGAAAAACAGAGAAAACCTTCATGACCTTGGGGTAGGTAGGCAAAGATTGCTTAGGCCACAGAAAGCATGAACCATAAAAGAGAGAAAAAAAATCAATTGGATTTTATCAAAACTAAGAACTTTTCTTCCAAAAAAAAACACCATTAAGAAAATGAAAAATGCCGAGGCCCAGAGAGACTGTGTGTAGTATAAATATCTGACATAGGACTTGTTTCCAAAACACGTAAGGAACTCTTATGACTCAATAATAAAAGGACAATTGATCCAATTTTTTTCAATGGGTAAAAGACCGGAACAGACCCTTCACAAAAGAAAATACATGAATGTCCAAGAGTGAGCAAGTGAAAGTGATGTTCAAGGTCCATCGTCATCAGGAAAATGCAAATTGAAACCATAATGAAGCACTACTTTACACCCACCAGAATGGCTTTCAGTTAATAACAATGTCAAGTGTTGATGAGAACACCAAGCTACTGGAATTCTCCTACACTGTTGGTGGGAATGTAAAATGTACAAACACTTTGTAATACAGTTTGGCAGTCTATTACAAACACACAACTAAGCCATTCCAATTTGAAAATAGAAACAAGATCTCTATACAAAGGCTTGTAGCCAATGTTCAATGTTTTACTCATGATGGCCAAAACCTTGGAAACAACGCAAGTGTCCATCAGCAGGAGAAAAGATACAAACAAGAATGGTCCATCCATACACAGGAACAGTATTCAGCAATCAAAATGTAACTACCTAAATATGCCACACCATGGATGATTCTCCAAGGCTGAATGAACAAAGCCAGACAAAGAAAAAGTACAATTTGTATGATTCCATCTATATAGAAATCTAGAAAAGACAAATCTTGTCTGTAGTGATAGAAACCTGTTCAATGTTTGCCTGAGGCTGGAGGTGGGTGGTGGGGGTTGACTGTAAGGGAACAAGAGGGAAATTTTAGGGGTGAGTGGAATGTTCTATATCTTGATTATAGTTCTGGTTACAGGGTGTATATATGTATCAAGACTCATCAACTTGGATCTGTAAAATAGCTACATTTATGTAAAGTATATATCAATAGAGTAATTTAAATACCTCCATTCAAGGTTTTGTTGCTAACCTTTTAAATCCTTTGGTCCTCCTTGTTACTCTGAGTGTGGTAATGTCTGAATGTTTCTTCTCTTCAAGGACATTGTGGTTAAATAATCTGGTTCACGGCCAGGACATAATGGGCATTAAAAATGGACTCAGGGGACACCTGGGTGGCTCAGTCGGTTAAGTGTCTGCCTTTGATTCAGGTCATGATGCGGGGTTCCTGGGATGGAGCCTCATGTTGGGCTCCCTGCTCAGAGGGGAGTCTGCTTCTCCCTCCCCCCCTCCCTCTGTGATCTCTCTTGCTCTATCTCAAATAAATGAATAAAATCTTAAAAAAAAATAAAATAAAATGGACTCAGGAATTACCGGTGCATGAGGGAACTGGGGCCCAGAGGGGAGACACTTGTCTAAGGACACACAGCCCAATACAGGTATTGACTACAAGGTGTTGCTGGGGGGCGGGGGGAATTGCAGGTTTGGGTTTCAAAAAAATAGAACCCAAAGACGCAGAGGCAGACGTCCGTCTATCATCCGCTCACCTCCTGTCCTGTTTTCCTTCAGAACTGAGTCTTGAGAGAGGTCAGGGTGCCCCCCCAACCCGAGCGAGGCCAGGCCCGCCAGGCGGGTAATTGCACAAACCCTAGGTCTGCAGAGCGTCTTGCAGGTGAGACGCTCCCTCACCAACACCCCCGCCCCCCCCGCCCCAGCCTAAGAGCACAGTCTTCACCAAGCAGCGAGGTCCACCCGGTGCAGGTCTCTGCACCTCCATCATTGTTCACCTCGCCGCCCAGGGTTCTGCGAGGAGCAATGACAATGGTTGTCTGCTCTCGCTACTCTCATGGAACCTAGAAGTTCTGCTCGGGAAAGTGAGGCAAGGCAAGGAAATAAAGAACAAGCCGAGCTAGCATCCTTGTGCCCAGTTCCAGGGCCGGAAGCACACTGAACTCTGGGCACAGAGCTGGCACGGAAGCTGGGTCACCCTGACCCTGATCCTCAAGCCCCAGGTAAGGCACGCCACCCCTCACGGGGCGCCAACAGCGTTGTACTTGAGGTCCAGGCCGGTTCCTGCTCCCACGAGCTGGGCGGCCTCCGGCCTCAGTTTCCCCACTTGGCCCCCACGCAGGAGAGGATCTGGAGCGCGCAGGGGTTGGCCGGGCCCCGCCCCTGGGGTGGGGCTGGGGCGGTCACGTGGAGGTGCTCCCCGGCCCCCGAGCCCCGCCCCGCCCCGCCCCCCGCCTCGGCCGGGTCTGGGTCTGGGTCTGGAGCCGAGGCGCAGAGCCCGCCGAGGTCGCCAAGCCGGGGCCGCTGAGCTCGGCGGCGCCGCGGGGTCCGGGGTGCCTGCTCGCTGCTCCACCCGCTCCCGGCCAGCTGTGCCGGCGGCTGGACCCGCCGCCGCAGCACCAGGAGCAGCCGCGAGGACTCGAGCGCGGGCGGCAGCGGCGACACCATGGATCTGTCCTTTATGGCCGCGCAGGTAACGGGGCGCCTTCCCCGCGCGCCCTGGGCTGCGAAGTTTGGGGAGGTTCGGGGCCACGGGCTTGCCCTGCGCCGGGAGGCTTCGAACCGGGCGGTGGCCCCCGCCGGGGATCTACGTCCCGGTCCTTTGTCCAGAGCCGGGCATCCCCAACCTGGTTTCTCTCGTCCGAGGCGGCGAGCGCGGCTCCCGGGGGTGGGGCGGGCCGTGCGCCCTGAGCACCCCGGGTCGCTCTGTTCCCAGACTGCGAGGGGCCTGGGCGATGCGAGTCGACCCCTCCCTGCCCATCCGCTCCCTGCAGTCCCCGCTCCAGGACCCAGGACTCCCCCAGGGCCGTGCAGCCCAGATCCGTGCAAACCCGGGTGGGTGGGCACCCTCGCTGTTCTGCATTCCCTATCTTCACGAGGCGCAGGAGACGTCCGGCGCCCCCCCTCCCCCTTAAGTGGAGACCACAGCCCCAGCAGCCTGAGGAAGGAGGTGAGACCGGCTCTGTGACCAGCCAAGCGCCAGAGCGCAGCGATCCTTTTATCCTTTTTTTTTTTTTTTTTTTTTGCTTTGTGCTGAGTCTGTAGCCATCAGTGCCCAACGCGACCATAACTCTTCCCTTGACACAAAACAGGTTGCCAATGGCAGGAAAAAAACAGATGACCTCTCATCATTTGATCCTTGCTGAAGGAGAATCCCCTTGAGTTCTGAGCGTTGGGTGATCTTTATGTTTCTGTGCCCAACTCTCATGAGCTAGAACAAAGGCGGGCAGACACCCCCTTTGCAGAGCTGCCTGTGGCCTCTCCCGGGACCCAGTGCCGGGGACAGTCTGGCTCCAGGAAAGGCCACATCTGGTCTGGGCGAGTAAATCTCAGTGTATCACATTCAGACCTTGCACCTTCTATGAGTTAGTTATGTTGGGATCCCAGAGGTAGGAAGGCCACCGGGGTCCCTCTGTCCCCTGCATGTGTAGCAGGGGCCCCACTTGCTGCTGCTTAATTTTCCAGGGAATAGATTTCAAGAGAACACTTTCCTTTCCCGCCCCCAAATTTCACCCCAGTGGAAGCCTCTTGAAAAAGTAACAGCAAAATCCAGGCTGTATGGACAGCGAGTCTCTGAACAGTCATGGAAGGATGCAGAATCCCCAGGATGGTTTTAGATCCCAGCTCTAGGCAGCCTCTTGTTTCATTTTCCAAAATATGCATTGCTCCAGTCAGCACCACTGGTTTTTTTTTGCCTAATTTTCTGTCTCCTGTTCCTAAGCCCACGTTTATAAATATTGTCATGCAGGCATCATTTTAGACAGTGGTGACTTTAGCTACAGGATAACTAGAGTGGCTTCACCAGATTTATTTCTAGGGGAGAGAGGAGCTCGCACACGCCTGTCTTTGCCTGCCCTCCTCTGGATCCCACCAAACAGCTTGTGTCCATGGTTACGAGATGAATTGATCACTGCTAACCCTGGGGCAGACTGGAGCATCAGAAGTTGCTATGGTAACCTGATAAAATAAACATAGGGCTTTTCTCCATCTGTAGGCAGAGCCTGCACAGAGATTGGGTTCTTTTTTTTCTCTCTCTCTTTTTTGTTTACTCTCAAGTTTTGTGTGCTCAGTGTGTTCCTGCCAACAGATATTTGGGTATAGATTACATGCGCAGGCCGGAGTCAGTTGCAAGGAACAGAAACATGATGAGTCATCACGTGGGGAGAGACGCTGAGGTTTGTGGAGCACATGCCAGTCACTTGCACACTTTATTATAGTAAATCCTTACAAGTCTATGACATGGGCACTGTTATTCCCCCTTTTACCGATCAGGTTACGAAACTTCAACAAGATTAAATAATTTGCCTGCTTGGTGCATGTCACCAAGCTTCTGTCCCCACACATCAGCAGTGGACAGTTTGACAGGGAAATGTTAATGCCTCCATCTACTTGTTTGGCAAAAGTTGGGTACCTGCCTTGTGCCAAGCTCTGTGCCAGGCATGGGGTGGGACTGGGGTGCTGGCGATAAAGTGGAATAGGATGTAGATTTTCTTTCTGGGTACTTACAGAGGAATGGAGAAGTGACGGGCCTGGCCATCCCCAGCAGGGGAATGGATCAGGGGATCAGAGCCGGGTGGACCAAGATGCTCTGCACATAGTAGGCCTTCAGCAAGTTTCTGTTAGATGATTGGATGGGGATGAGACAGGATGCATGTGAATCGTGAAAATCAAGAACAGGAAAACAGTGCCTTTGCTGTGTCGGATGCCCCTCCCCCCGAACACCTGTCATCGTCAGGATTTGGAAGACGTGAGTTCTGATAGAGTAGAACTACTGGTGGATTCTAGGCGGAGAGGCAGGAGGAGAGAGGCCTGGAATATATTCACAGAGTCCTTCAGGAAGGGGGAAGGTAGGGGCTCAGGACAGCTGGGAGAGGGGGGCTGGGGCCAGATCACAGAGGGGCTGACTGTGGAGTGGGGAAGTTCACATGCATCAGCGGGCAGTGGGAGCCATTGCAGGCCATTGAGCAGGGAAAGGTTTGTGATTGAACCAGTGCTTTGGGAAGATCCCAGCCCAGTGGAGCATAGTTAGAGGCATGAGTGAAGCCAGAAGGGCACACCTGCTTGATTAACTGAGTGACTGAAACCAGCTCCCTGTGGCCCCAAAAGCTCCTCCCCCTCCTCAGTGTTGTGAACTGTGAGTCCTGTTTCTGGCTTTAAAAGACTCAGAGGATATAAGCCATTTCAGAAAGATTTGCCTCTCAAACGCTAAGCATTACGAAGACACCTTTTATGGATGGAAAGAGTGGACCCGCAACTCCCCTGATGCAGATCTGCCCTCGCTGGTGCGGGTACATGGGGTTGTGTGATGGGGTTTGGAAGAGGCTGTGGACACTGAAGGTGTGAAAACTCAGCTCGTGGACCCCACCTCACCCCCTGAGCCCCAGAGGTGCTCCGCTGACCTTTCCTCCACCCTGGACACACCCCAGCCCCTCTCTGCACAGTTCCTGGGTCCCCAGACACCCTGGTGGGTTGAACAGTAAACAGGAGCACCTGTTTTTCTATGACCAGCAGTGGCCGGAAGGGTAGGGCCGTCCAGACGCCCAGGGAGCTGGAGACCAGGAGGACAGCACAGATGTTGAGGACTGAGCCCCGAATCCCTGTGTCATTGGTGGGGTGGCCCTTACTCCAAAGATGACCCTATTCTCTCCCTCCCCCTCACGGGGGCAGGTGGGGATCTGATTCCCCTCCCCTTAAATCTGGGTTGGCATCAGTGAATTTCTTGACCAGGAGAAGGCAGTGTGAGTGGCGTTCTGGAACCTCAGAGACTAGCTTTGAAGAGGACTTCGGCGTGCGTGGATGGCTACTAGCGTGCTTGCTCCAGGGGAAGTGCAGAGACTCTGAGACCTCCGTGATGAGACGAGGAGTGAACATTTAAGGGACCTACTGCATGGGCAGAAATGAACAAGAGGGGGGTGCCTGGGTGGCTCAGTCGGTTAAGTGGCTGCCTCCAGTTCAGGTCATGATCCCAGGGTCCTGGGATCGAGCCCCGCATCGGGCTCCCTGCTCCGCGGGAAGCTTGCTTCTCCCTCTCCCACTCCCCCTGCTTGTGTTCCCTCTCTCATTGTCTCTCTCTGTGAAATAAATAAAATCTTAAAAAAAAACAAAAAAACAAAAAAGAAATGAACAAGAGGGTGTAGGAGCGCTAGTCACGTGCTTGAGGCTGTAAGGCTGAGTTCAACAAGCACACATATGGCACAAGGGCTCAGTCTTGTGTTTGTCCTGTGCCGTCCCTACAGCGCCTAGTCTAAACCCAAGAGTTCCCAATGTTGCTGCCAGTAGGATCCCCTGGGAGCTTTTAAGACCTGCTGCCTCCACCCACCCCCAGTGCTCCCCTTAGAGTCTCAGCTGGAAGCGGACATTTTCGTTATTTTCTGTCATCCCCCAGTGGATTCCAGTGTGTGGTCGGGGCCGGGGTGGAGGTTTGAAGCTAGAACCGCACTTAGGGCTGTCTCCCTCCCCCTCCTCTGGATGGAACAGATCCTTGGCTCTCTGGTCCTTTTCAGGTCGCAAAAGGTCATGTGGTCCCCAGAAGTCACCCGAGTATGGGTTCAGCAACTTAAAAGAACGAGACCCAGAATAATATAACCCGGGGACTTGCTCCAGAATTGAGGTTCTCCCTTCCTCCTGCCCACGCCTGCCACAGGTGGGAGACCTGTAGTCGGGTAGGTGGCTCTGCTAATCCCCTCATGCAGACAGGGAAGAAAGGGAGAGCCAGGGTGGCTCAGCCGACAAGCAGAGCCAGGCCTGGAGCCCCAACCGCAGGGCCATCCTGCACGTGGGCTCACCGCCTTGCAGAGCAGATCCAGTGCGGGGGTGTGTGGGAAACCTAGGGCTCCGCCATGGAGCAGCTCCAGGGAATCCTCAGTCCCTGAATACAGAGTGTTGTGATTATGTCCGTTTTTAAAAAGATTTTGTTGGTTTATTTGAGAGAGAGAGAGAGAGAGTGCGCGTGCGCAAGCATGAGCAGGGGGAGGGGCAGAGGGAGATGGAGAAGCAGACTCCCCGCTGAGCAGGGAGCCCGATGTGGCGGGGCTCCATCCCAGGACCCCAAGATCATCACCTGAGCTGAAGGCAGATGCTTAACCAACTGAGCTACCCAGGTGCCCTATGTTTATGTCCATTTTTATTTTTATTTTTTTTTAATGTTTTTTTTTTTTTTAAGATTTTATTTATTTATTTGACAGAGAGAGAATGAGAGAGAGAGCACATGAGAGTGGGGAGGGTCAGAGGGAGAAGCAGACTCCCCGCTGAGCAGGGAGCCCGATGTGGGACTCGATCCAGGGACTCCAAGATCATGACCTGAGCCGAAGGCAGTCGCTCAACCAACTGAGCCACCCAGGCGCCCTATGTCCATTTTTAAACATGTTCTTAAAGAGGACCATATTAGTTTCCTGGGGCTACCCTAACAAGTTAGCACAAGCAGAGTGGCTTACAACAGAAATGTAATCTCTCCCAGTTCTGGAGGCTGGAAAT